AAAATATATATATATATAAATAAAATTAAATTAAAATAAAGATCCCCTCTCCCAAAAGGGGCTCATTTTTTTGGGTACGGGAATTAAAGACTTCAACATGTGAAGGGGGGGGGGGGACAGAATTCAACCCGCATCAGTTATCTTGTGGGAAAGAATAAAGTCCATTAATCGAAAAGTCTGCTGTGGTAGATATCACAAATATTCCTCTTCTACATGGATGAATCTCAAAATAATTATGCTGAGTGAAAGAAGCCAGGCCAAAAGAGAACACGCTGTGTGATTCCATTTATAGAAAATTCTAGAAAATGCAAACTAATCCATACAGCAGCAGAAAGCAGTTCAGTGGTTGTCTGGGAATTGAGGAGCAGGGATGTCACGGGTGGGGAGATAGCAAAGGGTCCCAAGGAAACTTCCAGCAGTGATGGAATCTTCATTATTGTGATTGTAGTGGTGGTGGTTTCATGGGCATATGCGTGTGTCAAGCTTATCAAACTGTAGACTTTAAATATGCATATTTTATTATACATCAATTAAAATTCCATAAAGACTTGGGGGTTTTTTAAGAATAAATTGGCCAGATGTGGTGGCTCAGGCCTATAATTCCAACCCTTTGGGAGTCCAAGGGAGGAGGCTTGCTTGAGGCCAGAAGTTCAAGACCTAGTTGGTCCGAGTGTTGTAGGTTATTGTTAAGCTGATTTAACATTGTCTCCCCCGATAACCACAACTGACTATTAAAAAAAAAAGTTTGAGACCAGGCTGGGCAACACAGCAAGACCCCACCTCTATTAAAAAATTGTATAAAAATTAATCAGGCATGGTGGTGTGCACCTGTAGACCTAGCTACACAAGAGGCTGAGATGGGAGGATCACTTGAGCCCAGGAGCTCAAGGCTGCAGTGAGTTATGATCAAGCCACTGCACTCCAGCCTCTGGGCAGCAAAGTGAGATCCTGTCTCAAAAAATAAATAAATAAAACAACAAATATTTCACTTCTCTTCTTCCCTTCTGTTCTTTTGTTGGCCATATGGTAGGCATGTACTTACTTCCCTGTTCCCTTCGAAGTCAGGTGTGGCCATGAGACAAGGCTTGACCAATGAGATGCTGGCAGAAGGGATAGGTGTCACTCACAGGTGGTTGTATTAAGAGCCAGGGTGTGATTCAGCACTTTCCCTTTAGTCCCACCCCTGCAATCATGGAAGGATGAGTCAAGATGGAGCTTCCAACCACCTGGGTCCCTGCCATGACCAGCGCCCCCTGCTGACCTGCGGTAGATGTGCATCACCAGTGAGAAAATCCTTTGCTTTTTTGAGTCACTGAGATTTGGGGCTTGCTTATTACCACAGCATAACCTAAACTCTGCTGACAGAGTCACCTACAAGTGAGAGAGTCTGTCATTCAGCTGTGGCCCCACTGGAATCAGGCAGGAGACGGAAGCCACACAAGTAGAGGGTGAACCTAACCAACCACCCAGACTCCTCCCCTCCCGAAAGCCTCGCTATACTCTGGTCCTTTTTGCTACACAGTAATATGCATAAAGGGGTACACACTTGCTTTTCTGTGTAAAAATGGCTCCCAAAAGAAAGCTAGCTGCTGGGGGTGGCAGTGGAAGTGAGAAGGAAGGCAAGCATTCCAGCAAGGTCTGAAGGTCAGAAGCGGGTTGTGTGGCGGGAGGCTGAGGTTGCAGTGAGCCAAGATCACATCACTGCACTCCAGCCTGGTGACAGAGTGAGATGCCATCAAAAAAAAAAAGAAGAAGCGGGTTGTGTTGTGTAAATGACGTTGGTCCTGTATTCGCACATCATGGCATGGAAACCGTGTCTCACAGCTTCCAGTTTTGTCTTCCTACATTGTCGGAGGGGGTCATATGCTACAGAGGGGGTCTTGAATTTGAGGAGTCACCAAAGTATCAGAATTTCTATGATGCCTATTTAGCAAAATGCATTTCAAACACAGGTGATCTACCTGCACAAAGAAGCGGACTGTAATGAAGAGAAGACACGAGGCTTGCTTCGTGCCACTCAGGGAGAGAATAGAGGCATGGTGCTTGGTTTCAGCACCTCCGCCAGCTTTCTCTGGGCCCCCTGGCAGACCTTCAGCCTTCCTGGCTCCTGAGGTCTGTCCATCAAGCTGGCTTACGTGGCCTCTGAGGTCCTCTTCAGCTTGAGGTCCTATGATCATTCAGGACTGGGTATCTCACCTCCTGTCCATGCCTTGGTGCTTCCTAGATACAGGACATTCTATGACACACTTTATGTAATTCTGAGTTATTCCTCACAGCAAGCTTAGGAGGGATATGGTATTATAATCCTGGTTTTACTGTTTTACTCCTCATGAGGAAACCGAGGCTTGACAAAGTCAAGTAATTTGCCAAAGCCACATACCCTTACAAGACAGAGCCAGAAATGCAGCCCTGATTTTCAAAGCATGTGCTTCTGCTTCTCAAGCACATGCTCAGATCACTCCACATTCTTTCTCATGGCTTTTTTTTTTTTTTCTTTTCATTTTATCTTTGCCTTTTGTTAGTAGTACAAAAAAAATCAAGATTTATTGTGGTGGTCTGGATGACACCCTCATAATCAGGAATTACCCCTCCATGTTGGAACCAGCACCTCCATTTGTGCTCACAATCTAGCTCTAAGGGGTCTCCTAATGAAACTGCATTTAACTTTTCTTTTTTTTTTTTTTTTTTTTTGAGATGGAGTTTCGCTCTGTCTCCCAGGCTGGAATGCAGTGATGCGATCTCAGCTCACTGCAACCTCTGCCTCCCGGGTTCAAGCGATTCTCCTGCCTCAGCCTCCTGAGTAGCTGGGATTACAGGCACCTGCCACCATGCCCAGCTAATTTTTATATTTTTAGTAGAGATGAGGTTTCACCATGTTGGCCAGGCTGATTTTTAAAACACTTTATTAAAAAAAGAAAGAGAGGGAAGGAAGGAAGGAAGAGAGAGAAAGAAAGAAAGAAAAAAGAAGGGAGGGAGGAAGGAAGGGGAAAGAGAGAGAGGAAGGGAAAGAAAGAAAAAGGAAGAAGGGAGGAAGGAAAGGGGAGAAAAGAAAGGAAGGAAGGAAGGACAAAAAAAAGAAAAGAGAGAAGAAAAGAAAAAAAAGAAAGAAAAGAAAAACAAGAAAGAGGAGGAAGGAAGGAAGGGGGAGGAGGGAAGAGAGAGGGAGGGAAGAGAGAGAGGAAGAGAGAAGAAGACGAGAGGGAGAGAGAGAGAGAGAGAGAGAGAGAGAGAGAGAGAGGGGAGGGAGGAAGGAAGGGGAAGGAGAGAGAAAAAGAAAGAAAAAAGAAGGGAGGGAGGAAGGAAGGGGAAAGAGAGAGAAAGAGGAAGTAAAGAAGGAGAAGGAAGGGAGGGAGGGAGGGAGAAAGGAAGGAAGGAAGGCAGGTAATGGAGACAGTTATTCCCATTCCCCACCCCCCAGAAATAGAAACATTTAAGAGCTCCAAGTTTTTAAGAATTATTTTAATACACTTTTCCTGTGAAACTCAATTCAAGGCAGCTTCGAGGTAAAAATGCTCATATTTAGCCTCTGTCCTTGTATTTTTAGGCACCTTGAGTGCACTCACTACACTCACACCGAGAAGACCCCCAAGAAATTCACCTCCTTGTGCAGATAAAGGAAAGGCAAACTGGTCATTCTGGAAACCAGGGTCAATTCTAGGTTTCTAGAAGCCTGGCTGTGGGCCTCAGGGCCCTTCATGAAAGCAAGGGCCTCAGATTGACCCCTTCCAAGCATCCCCTCCCGGGAGGGGAAGGGCACAGATTCTCAAGGGACCCTGGTGCATGCAAGTAAACTGAGGCCTCTAAGCTAGCACGTGGCACCACTGCCCTAGGAGACAAGCCATCCCCGCTCTCTGTCTGGATGGCCTGGTCAATGCAATGTAGATCATGCATGTGATTTCTCTCACTGATATTCAGGGGTAGGGTGTCGAGAACCAATTTGAAATGTATCCAAGTATCTGATGGAAATAAGAGGGAGCTACAGAAAATGACTCAAGCTGAGGACATATAGGAAGGAATTGGTTCAGGTGTAAGGAAGGATTTCTGGGGAACTTTCTTCCTTGTGTTCGTTCCTCCCTCTTTACGTAAGGTCTTGAGTCATGAGCACCTTGCGTTAGATGCTGGGATACAAAATGATCAAAACAGAGGGCCTGCCCACTGAGAGTACACAGTTCCGTGGGCCACATACACCCTCCAAAGTAATCCCACCATGACAGGGCAGCTGTCATCATGGAAGGACTGCCCACATGCAGAGGGTCCCAAGAAAGTGGTCCTGTCCTAGAAGCAACTTGAGATTAGGATCCTGCGTCATCCAACAGCTACAGCTTAGGCAGATGACTAGCAGTTCCCTGGGCCCAGGCAGTCCTCCAATTCATAAAAGCAAACAGGCGTGGGGCAGTGGCTCACTCCTGTAATCCCAGCACTTTGGGAGGCCTAGGCAGGTGGATCACAAGG